GACGTGGATTCTTTCTGTCTTTTCTAGAAATATTTTCATGGCAGTTGTTCTAATGAGCTCTCCTCCTTGGCACCTTGACCGCATGAATTTAAGCGTACTACTAGATTGGCTATTAGGTCTCGTCGCTTTATTGCCTCTGTGACTATCACAAGATATAATGCCTTTATTGATAACCATCTGGTTGCCAGAAAAGAATATTCCATTTGTGTAAACATTCGCGATTTTCGATTGACCAAAGTCTCATTCGAGTGCATCCTTCTCAATCCCAGAAAGTCTAATCTTTCTCACCAGAATCTATCTTACATATTCATAATTCTACTAATGCAGAATCTGCAATGTTATTGGGCATGACCTGGCATCTTCGTTTTCACTCCCTTTCTCACCGCCGTAGAGTAGCTTCCCTGTGCTTTTTTTTCTGTAAATACTTTCATGTAATTGTTCTGATGAAACTTTCCACTATGGTACCTAGACTTTATGAATTGAAGTGCAGTACTAGATTAGCTGATAGGTCTCATCATTTTTCTTTGTTGAAATGGCTAGATGCAATCGTAAGTTCTATCCTAATAGTTTCTTTTCTAGCCCTTTTCGCCGGTGGAAATCTCTTCATTAATAAAATTGACACAATAACAGTGACTGCTCTCTCCCAGACCTGTTCACGTAGAGTAGCGTAACTATACAAAGTATATGGACGGTGATCAGCAAATCTGTTGCAGCTTTCTAGTTCTATCAACTTAGTCTTAGGCAAGTCATGCGCCTAAATTCATAAACTCCAGGTATCATAGTGGAAAGTTCATCAGAACAATTCCCATGAAAGTATTTATAGAAAAGGCACAGGGAAGATACGTTTCGGCGGTAGGAAAGTGACTGAAGCAGAGATGCCAGTTCAGGACCAATAACATTGCAGATTCTTTGGATTTGATCAAGAATCTCTAAATATATAGCTGAAGTACCAGACCACATGTAACAGCAATATTCAAAGCAAGGATGAATGGTAGTCTTATGAATATGTAAGATAGATTTTGGGAGAACTTTCTGGGAATGAGAAGGGTGCAGTTGAACGAAACCGAGGCTAATCGAAAATCCCGAAATATTATTAATTTATAATGAGTCTTCACACAAATGGAATATTCTTTCTTGGCAATCAAAGCGTCATCGATAAAGGCACAATATCATTTGATAGTCACAGAGGCGTCAAATAAAAACGACTTTGAAGAAAGTGTAATATATTCTTTTTCTCTGGGAGAATGTTCGGGTTTAAAATGCCGCAAACCACAATGAAGCCTCACACCACAAACGTAAATAAACTTCAGTTCGGCAAAATGCATTTCCCAGTAGTAATCAGTAGTAATTAGTTAATAACATCAAGAAGTCAAAATCTGAAACTGATTATAGCTTTCATGGTCAGAAAGTGAACGTTCTAATCACTGCACACACACACACACACACACACACACACACACACACACACACACACACACACACACACACACACACCTTATATATGATAAGATAAAAAACAAATAGGAAACATTTATCAATCTAACATGTTTCTCTTTTATTAAAGCTTCATCAGGGGATATTGAAAAAAAATTCTGTTATTGTTATTTTTGTATTGTTTGCAATGTAAATACACTTACGTTGGAGTGACGCCTCGAAGTCTAAAAGCCCGCGTTTGTGACTAGAGGTGGGGTTTACGTTGGGACAACCATTAAAACTCTCTCATAATACAGTGGGACAAGACTGGCATAATTTCGATTTTACAAATGCAACCCCAATTAAAAAAGAACATAATTCTTTACGTCGAAAATACTTCGAGGGAGTGTTGACAAAAAATTTGCAAACTCCAAAATGGACATCAAAAACACCATTTTACATCATCACTCTTTATTAAACCCATTTTTACAGAATCTAATTTATATCTAAGAACCACGACTAATGACTTAAAAAGGTCACCAAATCAGCATGCGAACAATCCAAACATAAATAATGCCTACTACTACCACACACACACACACACACACACACACACACACACACACACACACACACACACACATATATATATATATATATATATATATTTCCACATTTCAGGGTACAAGGTAATCCGTAATAAACTAACAACAAAAACAACAGGATTTTCCCAACCATGTAACAACAAAAGAAGTTTATGCTGCAACCACATTAAATACACAAATTCATTCACTATCTCAGTCACTAAATCTACTTACAAAATCTACCACGATTCTAACTGTAGAAGTCATAACATAATGCACACTATGCCAGAAACAATATGTAGGAAAATCTGTATGGCCCTTTCACTACAGAATTAATAATTATCGCAATCGAATTAAGTCGACTCCCCATGAAAAAATATTACCTGTAGAACAACATTTCTGCCTAGAAAAACACAATTTCAAAACCCATGCCAAATTCACTATAATTGAGAGAATAGAAAAGTTCAGAGCAGATAACATTAGAAAGATTTTAGAGTTTCATGAAAATAAGTGGATACAACAGTTTAAAAACACACAGCCGGGCTAAACCATAAATTTAACAATATAGATAGTATTAATATATAACCCTACGAATCAAAACCTACCCACATTTCTCACCCACACAAGACAGACATGCTTACGGAGATGTGGAGGCCTCACACTTATACACACACCCACACGAATATACACACTTACACACATCATACTCACTCACTCCCTAATGAGCCAAATGATAACACACACCCATAGCAATATACACGCTTACATATATCATACTTATTCACTCCCTAAGAACCAAATAACACACACACACACACTAAACAGAGACACATCCCCTCTCCAGGTCCAATAAAACTGTCAAACTGATCAGGGGAATTCAGAGCAGCATGGATCCATCCAGCTCTTATCTCAAATAACAACTTAAAACAGACTGTTTGACCAACACAAGAAATGTTAAAAAAATAAAAAAAAACAAATGAAAACTACAGATTTACTCCAGCAAGACAGGCATTTCTGTAGTTCACTGCTACCAGCAAGCAGAAATATTTATTCTCCTGATGATGGCCATTTTGGCCGAAACTAGTCGAGGAATCTAAATGAAATAATAATAAAAAAAAACGAAAGAACATTAATCTACAACCCAGTGTGCCTGAAGATTTTAATTTTTTAATATTTAGTATTGTTCAATATATATATATATATATATATATATATATATATATATATATATTTTTATATATATATATATATCATCCCAATCCGAGTAGACAATCTAGAATTATGATACACTTACATAAATTATACACACGAACACTGCTTGACTTGTCAAATGCACGTGAATCATGCTTAATAAAAATCAAACACAAAAATAACAATAGCAGAAATTGTTTCCCTATCTCATACTAGGGAAAAGCTTTAATAAAAGCGAAACAAGTTAAATTCATAAACGTTTTTTATTTGTTCCTTATGCTATCATTCTCTCAGATCCCGATCCATATTTGCATTTGACCCCAATTATATATATATATATATATATATATATATATATATAATTTCTATTTTGAAATTATTTAAGATTGGGAAAAGCTTCGTAGTTTGATAATCACTATGAACAGTGATTATAATTTGAAATTATTCTGAACTATTTACCAAATTACTGAATGACGTCTATTCGCGAATGCTTTAATCATATTGACTTTTTTTTCTTTTACCGTCTTCACGTCATCACTCTTGGTTTCACTTGCAGCCATTCTTTGACATTTAACATTTATTTCGATTCGGGAAACTTGATGAAAAACTCACTGCTTTCTAGAATCGATCCAATGAAAGGGAAAAAAATAGTCGGATTGATAGCAATTGGCGTGAGATAACAATGCCCTTGAAGTGTACATTTGGAGCGTCTTAACGTGGAGTATTGACAAAACTCCTGAACAAACTTCCTCAGGGGACCGGTCTGAAACAGCTCGACAAAGAGAACGAGTGAAAAAAAAGAAAAAAAAAAGAAAAGAAAAAGAAAAGACAAAAAGAAAACAAAAAACAAAAAATGGGGGGGGGGGAGGGGGTGAAAGAAAACTTAATCAAAAGTTCATCTATTTTTATTTTATTTTATCTTTTTTGCTTAAAAGATTTTCTTGAACGACCAGTGAAAAGGGTAATTTTTTTTTTAATCGTAAAGCCACAATACTTTCGTCTTTCAAGCTTTCTGCGCAATAGGAACAATGGAAGTCTTCTATTTTTTATCTGCCTGTGTGGGAGGACTAGTAAAAAAGGATAGAATGAATAGTTTGTAATGGAATGAATGTGATTGAAAGCGACTTCAATTCCTAAGGAGATCTAGTTTTTGCCAACCCATCGATCTGACACTAATAAAGAATGACGTATTTTTACGGCTTATCAGCTCTTTGCAGATCATCTAAAGCCAGAAAAATATTTTTAGATTGTAAGAATTTTTGTTTCCAGATAATAATGGTTTACTAAGGCTATTATTATTATTAATTAACCCATAGCTGAGGGAGAAGATGCAGCTTAATACCTAATCAGAATTTGATAAACAAACAATAGCTTATAAGGTAGATATAAAGTAGGGAGTCAATACTATATTACAATCAATATATAAACTGATCCCTCACTTTGTGGCCACGGTAGTTTCTATAAATTTGTATTCCAGAGAATGTAAATAAATCTAAGACATGCCTGTGTCAGAATCAGTTTTTATTGATTGATTGATTCGTTTTTCTACGGCTTATAAATCCTTTGTAGGTTATTTAAAGCCAGGAAGTATTTTAGATTGTAATAATTTTTGGGGTGGGGTGGGCGGAAATAATAATCATTTAGTGATGCAAGTTTAACTAATTAACCCATGCCTGGGGAGAAGTGGTGGATCATACCTTTCCCAAGAGCATTTTCGCGTAAGTGAATATAATGAACCCGATTGGAATTGGAACTCGTCTCTTCGATTAACAATTCCGTGCCATTATCCATTACACCACACGCACATCCAAGCTTGCATCACCTGGAATTCGCAAGTGGTCACCCATCTAAGTACTGACCACGCTTCATGTTGCTTAACATCGGTGATCGTACGTAATGTGGTCATAAGCCTTTCGTATTGGTATTAGCACTGTTTATTTTTTGCTGTGATAACCACAGATTTTGTCTTTATCTGTTGACATGTAAAAACCTTTTTATAACCCGGAATAATGCGATGGGAAAATGAATGGTTGTTATTCCTGCTATTTTTTTTAAAATAATGTTCGGACCGAAATAAGATGTACAGTTTATAGGGATATGTGGAAAAAATAACGTTTAATCCTAGACTTAAACAGATTAATATTGTAGTGTTCAGGAAAGCATCCTCTTGGGAGTCATTTCTACAAAGGAGCGGTCACCAAAGTAATTTGGATATATGCATATTATGATTAATAGTATTTTGTTACTAAAAATGCCGTGAAAATTTCACGGTCTTACTATCTGAATGTTCTGATGTATCTTAAGTTTTAATGATTGAATAAGCTCATTGCGAATTTTAAGACAATGAAATACACGTGGAAATATTTGAACTAAACAACTTTAAAAAATAGCAATAACAGTCATAGGTAGGAATGCATCTTATAATTAAAAGAGGGTACAAATGAAAAATTTGAAACTGACAATTGTTTTTTCAGTATCTGTCTATATTTCTGATGAGTATTATGTACACTATTTATATTATTCCACGTGCCTCCTGTTAATCCCCCCTCCACAAAAAAAAACAAAAAAAACAAAAAAAAACATGGCACGTGGAACTAGAACAGTCTACCCCAGTGAGCGAAATAAAGGGTTCAGTTCGACAATTCAACCACCTGAAGAAGGCCGGAGCGTACAACGGTCGAAACGTTGTAATAAATATGTCTACAAAGATGAGGATAATAGTCCGAATAATGTAAATAGTGAAGTGTTTTTTCCCATTTCATTGAAGCAGTCATTAAACCAAAGAAACCACTATCGCTTCCTATTACTTCTCTTTTTCTTTCTTTTTCTCGAAACCAAATCACCTTTCTGATATGTCTTTTCCAACTTTCTTCGCAATCGAAACAAAATAGTCCTTTATTTATTATACATTGGTATGGCTTGACGTACTTGCCAACTAACTAAGGAAGAATAATAATTATATTGTAATGTTGTAATGTTGTATATTGTAATGTTGTAACCCAGGGAAGACTATTAAATAGAACAATCAAACGAAGGTTGGTAATGAACGATAATACTTAGGACAAGAACAACACATACAAGATTTGTCACCGGCGCGTAGAAGAAGTAGTCAACTGCTAGAAGTGAGTCAAGTGAATTCCACAATTAATCTTCAACTGAACGTTATCTACCAACCTCCCCATGCGGTCAGATGTGGCACAATTCAAAATTCAATCCGAGTATCCGAGCCCGCAGGCTCGGCCAAAATTTCCCCGTAGACCCCGTATAAAACGCGGTCGGATAGCTGTTTCCTGAGACGAGACTCTGCCCTTCGACATAGGCTCGTCTGGGGATCCTCCCTGCCTAGAAACAGAGAGTTTGATCGGCACAGCTGGAGACGAATCTCCGACTGCAGGATAACTAAAAACTGCCCCACATGGTCAGATGTGACATAAGTCGAAATTTAATGTGCCCATAGACTCAGCCAAAAATTCCCCGTAGACGCCGTATAAAATGGGGTCGAGTAGCTGTTTTCCGAGACAAGACTTTGCCCTTCGACATAGCTTGACCAACACAGCTGGAGACGAATCTCCAACCGTTTGTATACGTCTGTATTACTGTTTCTGTTAATATATTTGTTTAACTCAGTTCCTCCCACGTGTCTTTATTTCTGGACCTAACAAGGCCACAATAGTTTATTATATTCACTAACGGCGTAATAACCTTTGGGAAAGGTATGAATTCATCCCATCCAGCTATGGATAAATAGCAGGACAGATTCAGACTTATTGCCTTGTTTGGCAATCACTCTACGACAGGGAAAACTATGAATTCAAACCAGCCTAAAAGTGGTTTGGCCTAGGTAAGGCTGTCTTGCCTAAGAATAACAATTGTTGTTTGGCTGAAGTAGATGTAACCCTAAAGATTTAAGGGGTGTGGTACTGTGATTTTTGTTGCTTGAAGCTGACAAGTTTACAAGACTCCCAATCATCAGCAGAAAATCTCGATAAAATACTTCAACTTAGTCTATCGACGATCAAGCTGTTAGCTCCCTCCTACGAGGGCGCTATTCTCTGGAAAGGCTATTTTTGTTCTTATTAAATAGCTAGATAATTGCAGTACTTAAGACAAGTTTGCTAAGCACAATTCGCCGCGATTCCGCCTCATTTCCATTGGGTACCCAATTCCATAAAATGTCGGTTATTTTCAGTTTGGTGCAGAGGAAGAGCTAGACTTTCATCGCTTGGGATATGCCTTACTGCAAACATCTGATATATTGCAAAAGGGTTATATAGAGTACAGATTCTAAGTCGGTCATCACCAATGCTTAACACATTTCTTCTTCTATGTGTCGTGTTCATTTAGGACGTTGGCGAACATGGCTCTCCAAAATTTTCCAGTTTTTTCTTCTAAACCCTGTTCCGCCATCTTTTGACTCAATGTTGATAGGTATGATATGCGTTGAAACATCTGCCACACTGCATGCAAATATGTTAGTTTCCTTTTAGTTTGAATTTCCTCGCAAATTTGTCGGCATTGTGTCCATAGTATTCTTAACATCCTCGTGTAGAACAAAAATTATGTTGCTCCGTTTTCATCTGTGAAGAGATTGTGCAGCATTCACTGCCATATAAAACAGTTCCTTACATTATATATCTTTCTGATGATTTTTCACTTTCTTTATAGATGTTTTTATAAGATTTTTATACCAGGTTTCGACCAACTGTTGATATATATTTTTTTAAAAAGCATCATCAGATCAAGACTTTCATATGGATATCATGCATGGTGCCAAACTCATTCAGAAATATCTAAACTGTCAGCTGTATAGAATCACTTTCTTAGATCAATGATTAAAATGGCTTTGAGTGAATGAAGCATGTAGGTCTCAGTGAGGACCATCCTTGTCATTCTTAAATAGCTTCATCAGATCAAGACTTTCATATGGATGTCATGCATGGTGCCAAACTCATTCAGAAATATCTAAACTGTCAGCTGTATAGAATCACTTTCTCAGATCAATGATTAAAATGGTTTTGAGTGAGTGAAGCATGTAGGTCTCAGTGAGGACCATCCTTCTCATTCTTAAATAGCTTCATCAGATCAAGACTTTCATATGGATGTCATGCATGGTGCCAAACTCATTCAGAAATATCTAAACTGTCAGCTGTATAGAATCAATTTCTCAGATCAATGATTAAAATGGTTTTGAGTGAGTGAAGCATGTAGGTCTCAGTGAGGACCATCCTTCTCATTCTTAAATAGCTTCATCAGATCAAGACTTTCATATGGATGTCATGCATGGTGCCAAACTCATACTTAAACTGTCAGCTGTATTCATTTGATTCCTCAGATCGATACTGAAAAATCCTTGAGCAAGTGTGTCTTGGCAAATCTCACATTTTTCATTTCATGTCGACTGGCGCTACAGAATCACAGCGAACTATTCAACAACACAAGTACCTCTTTGAATATTGATGACTGACGCTACAGATTCACAAAATAGGTGTGACAATTAAGCGAAACTACATCATCTGATGTCTACTAACAACAGCAACAACTAAAATCGATAGCACTTGTAGCTAGAAGAAGAAATAATGACATAAGTTTCTCCTGAATCCTGTTCCATAATTACCTGGTTCATACCTCAAGGAGGTGACACATTCACAGATTGCCCTTCTTTCCTGTAGGGCCACCCTGAATTTCGAAGATTGTGGACTGGCGCTACAGAATCACAAACAAGAACCGTACCGAATAACAGCAACAACATCACTTGAGCACTACCAAAAGTAGCAACAACTAGAAGGAATAGCCCACGTAGCTAGAATAGGAAATGATGACATAAGGTATTAATATTCTAAACTATTTCAAACAAAAGGTTCGAAAGAGAATCCCTATCTAACCTTGTGCACCACAGAGCGTTGTCATGCAAGGCAATTTTCCCGCGGGCCGGCTGTCGTGGTGGTGATGGTCGGTATTGGTGACGAGCATAACAAAACACAATAAACATGACCGCGATAGTCAATTAAATGGGAATATTTCTTTTGTGCGGCCCGGTGCCAAATGGTCGACGGCCTGATACCTGTCTGCGGCCCGGTGGTTGGGGACCCGCTGCTGTAGGTTGTAGGTTATTAACAAAAAGGAAAGCAATTTGAACAATTTTTATTTGGTTACCAACTTACTTTAAACTCAACCTTGTTTTATATACTTGAACATTTTCGTGCTTAAAAAGAATTATATTGGTCCCGGTCTCATTGACTCTACGCAGAGCAGCTTCTCTCCCACGAGAGAAGGCTAGGATTAATCACTGGCTCTCAAGAAGTCTCTAATGGGAAAATGTCAAGTGGGCTTGAGCAGTTTTAGTCCTTATTCCCATGTACGCGTAGAATATCCACTTTAACCTCAGCCTTGTGTCATAATCAGTTCGAGTGGGTGTGTAGATAAATACCTATTGAAACCGCAATTCTTATGCTTGTTTGCTAATTTGCTCAGCTCCAGGAGGCCGTCCCCCAGACAGTACCACTCCTATTCTATTAAATGTAGGAGAGTTAGGGTTAATCCTTGACACCTGAGGCGTCCCATGAAGGAAATACCGCAGGAACTGAGCAACTTACGTCTCTTGTTCATCCCAGGCACGTGTTAGCGCCCCACTTGAAAGGCGAGCTGATTCGTTTTGATAGATTTCGTACGGAAATATTAAAATCCACACTTTTAATGTTATAGTCTTAAGTAGTCTTCTCCACTAAATTTTCGATATCAAAGGTTTAAAATTATTTTTTAAAACTGAAAAAAAATCATTCTTGAAGCTTTCTTTTTAGCTTTAATTGAAAACTAAATTATTAAATTTACTATTTCCAGTAATTTCAAATAGAAAATATATTGATTGGAATCTCAACATTTTGGTTGCTTTCAGAAAACAATAAAAAGCGATAAATATCTGTCATTTT